AGACTTGTGGATCAATTGAATTGAATCAAAGACCCGAACATTTTTACAAAGAAGCCAAAACAATACAATGGAAAAGAGATAGCATCTTCAATAAATGGTGCTGTTCTAACTGGATGTCTACATGTAAAAAATGCAAATATTTATCACCCGGCAAAAAGCTAAAGTCCAAGTCGTTCAAAAACCTCGACATAAAACAAGAGACACTAAACCTGTTGGAAGAAAGAATGGGGAAGAGCCTTGACCTCATTGGCACAGGAGACAACTTCCATCAGAACAAAACGACAGCCTACTGATTGGAAAAGGATCCTCACCAACCCTATATCTGACACAGGGCTAAAATCCAGGATATATAAAAAACTCAAGAAGTGGAACAGCAACAAATCAAGTAATCCAATTTAAAAAAGAATGGGTTCTAGAGCTAAACAGAGAATTCTCAATGGTGAAATATTGAATGGCAGGGAAAAACTTAAAGAAATATTCAAAGCAGATTCTGAGACTCATAACCAAATTTTGGGCTGAGTGCAGGGAATCTTATGAAAGAAGAGGGAGAGAGTAAGACCTGGAGAGGATAGGAGTTCCACAAGGAGAGCAACAGAACCAAGACATATGGGCCCAGGGGTCTTTTCTGAGACTAAATCTCCAACCAAGACCATGCATGGATATAACCTAGAACCCCTTCTCAGATGTAGCCCATGGCAGCTCAGTATCCAAGTGGGTAACCTAGTAAGGGGAACAGGGATTATCTCTGACATGAACTCAGTGGCTGCCTCTTTGATCACCTCACCTTGAGGGAAGAGCAGCCTTGCCAAGCCACAGAGGAGGACAATGCAGCCAGTCCTGCTGCTAGGGTTAGATGGAAGTGGAGGAGGATCTCCCCTATCTGTGGACTTGGAGAGGGCATAGGAGGAGATGAAGAAGGGAGGGTGGGACTGGGAAGGAATGAGGGAGGGAGCTACAGCTGGGATAAAATCTGAATAAACTGTAATTAATATAAAAAATAAATATTTAATAAAAAAGAAATAAAAGAAATAAACTCAAATATTAGAATAATAAAAAAAAAATTCAACCTCCTTGGTCATCAGGAACCTGAGGGGGTAGCAGCCTTACCAGTCCACAGAGGAAGACAAAGAAGCCAGTCCTGATGAGATCTGATAGACTATGGTTAGATGGAAGGGGAGGAGGACCTTCCCTATCACTGGACTGGGGGAGGGGCATAAGAGAAGAAGAGCGAGGGAGGGTGGGGTTGGGAGGGGATGGAAGAAGGGGCTACAGCTAGGATACAAAGTGAAAAAAATTGTAACTAAAAAACTATAATAAAAAGAAAATTAGTACAACCTCATGCAACTTCCATGTGATAAAAATTTAGTCAATAATTTGGATTCAGGTATGTCCAACCCCTAGCCCACAGGCTCTATTTAGGCCTGGGATAGCTATGAATGCATACTAACAGAAAAAGCATGAAACTTTTTTCTGTTTACAAATTTCAAAAATTTGTAGCTACATGAGACCTTTTATGTGTTTTGTCTGACTTTATGCTTCAAAGTTTTTAGCCAAACTAATACACAATCTCTCCTAAATAATCAAGTGCTTCACACCCTGATGGAATCTCTAGAAACCACCTTAGATTGCAAATATTTCTAATGAAAAAAATGAGGGAAGTTTTTTCTTTTTAATTCAACCAACAAAAAAATCCCAAATTCATGGCATCTAATACAAAATTATAAGATACATGAAAAAAACCAAGGCAAGACGATTTCTCAAAAAAACTGCTAATCCTAGAAAACTCAAAAGGATATTAGATATGCTCAATGAAATCACAGTTAATACAAATACCTGAATAAGTTCCAAAAAAAAAAGAAATACACTGAATGAAACAAGGAAGTCACTAGTTAATATGAAATTAATATTAAGATAAAGATATAGAAATTCAATAAAGATATAGAAGTACTAAAAAAACAAAGCAGAAATAATGGAAATAAAAATAAGTAAAATAAAAACTATCATAGTAAATAAGCGTAACCAATACAATGGATTAAGAGGAAGACAAAATACCAGGGAGAGAAGACAGGTAGAGGAACTAGAAGATCAAGAGGGTGATAAAGAAGTGAGTACACTTGACAACGATGGGACACTATGAAAAGATGGGATCTATTGACCATAGGCTTATTTGTGAAGATGAGGAGATGTGGTCTAGTTGGAGGAGCTGAGTTACTTTGAGGTTTTAAAAGCCTCTGTCATATCCATTTCTGCCTCCTACTTTCAGATAAGAATGTAAGCTCTTAAACTCTCAGCTTCTGGTGTTGCAGCAACGTGCCTGTCTCCCGGCACTAGAGAAGCAGGAGTAGGCAGATCTCTGTGAGTTTGAAGTCAACTTGGTTTACATGCCAAGTTCCAGGTCAGCCAGGGCTATATAATGAGACTCTCTTTCAGACAAAAGAAACAAACAATACCAGAATTAATACCTTGGAATACAGCTAACCAGAGAAAGAAATAATTTTATGTTAAAAACTTTATAACAATAAAGAATGGATTAAAGCAAGACACTATTTGTTCTACCAACTGAGGAAAACATATTCAAATATATGAGCCCATGGGGCCCATTCTCATTATCATTCAAACCACTATAGTATGCTTCTGCTTGCTATATTTGATACAGTTTATTATACTGAAACATGTTCCTTCTATTCCTAGTATCCTCAGAACTTTCGTAATGCAGGAATGCTGTGTTGCTGTGTTTTATCAAAAGTTGAAAATGCCTCCCACAATTATGGACTAGGAAAATTAATATTGTACAAATGGTTTTAGTACTCAAGGCAGCCTACAGATACAACACAATCCCCCATAGAATTTCAATGCTGTTCTTAAAATTCATGTGAAAACACACACACAAAAACACAAACAATAAATACCTTGATTAGCCAAAGCAATCCTGAGCAAAAAGAATAATCTTCAGGTCCATGTTAAATTTGTTAAATTGCACAGGCAGAGTTAGAAAAGAGCATGGTGCTGGCATAAAGCAGAAACAAAAATCAGCAGAATAGAGAACCCAGATAAAAGCCCATATAGCAATAGCCACCAATTGACATTAATTTCAAAAATATATATTTTAGAAAAACCTCTTCAAAAATGTTGCTAATAAAATGGAATAGCCACATGTGGAAGAATGAAATTATATCCTTATCAAATTGCTCCCACTACAGAAACCAAAGACAAAAATTAACCTTAAGACCTAATTCTGAGCAGCTGAAATTATTAGTCCAAATAGTATGGAAAACATCTGAAGGCATAGGTATATGAAAGGATTTTCTAAAATTAGACTACAATTTCTTAGTAAATAATGTCAAGTGATGGTGAATAAGACCTCATAAAATTCAAAAGCACTGCACAGAAAGGAAACAGTTAAATAAGTGAAATGACAGGGTAGAGAATGAAAGCAAATCTCCATAAGAAATTAAACAATTCAATTAATAAGTGAATTAAAGAACAGTTCTCAACAGATAAAATACAAATAACTAATAAACATATGAAAATATTCAAACTCATTAGTCATCAAAGAAATAGAAATTAAAACTACATTGAGATTTCATCTCATCCCAGTGCCAAAGGCAGTCATTAAGAAAACAAAAAAGAAACCCTTACACTTCTGGTAGGAAAGAAAAGTAGTATAGTCACCATGACAATCAGAGTGGAGTTCTTGGAGACAACCTCTCCTGGGTATTTACTGAAACAGCTCCAAGTACATATATCACAAATAGCCTTGCACATCAATGTTTTATCACAGCATTATTCTCAGTAGCTAGGTTATGGAAATAACCTATGTTTCCAACAAAGTTACAGATAAAGAAAATGTGGCATATATAAACAATGAATTCTTTTCAGCTCTAAGGAAGGAAAGTTGTGCCATTTTCAGGAAAATGTGTGAAACTGGAGATGCTCATATTATTCAGTTAAGCCAGAAATACAAATAGCATATGCTTTTACCCATTTATCATTCTTAGGATTTTAAAGAGATACATAAAATCATTTGTATATGACCTGCGAGTATAAGTAAACCTGTCCTGGAGAACAAATGAGAAAGGAAGGGTAAGAAAAAAAGAGAGTAAGGGGATATTAGGAACAAATATGCTCAATGTACAGTATATACTTATATGAAATTGTTCTTTCAAAATACTGTGTCATATATAATGGATTAACACAACAAGAATTTGAAAAATAATAAAAGATAAGTTTAAAAAAGAAAAAACTTACAAAGATAACTAAAGAGAACTTTTAAATGAATGAATAAAAAAATACTGATGAGGTGCTATGAATGACACACTTATATCCATTGATACCAACATTAAATGGAAGAAAGATATAATGGTATGATTCAAGTATGGTTTGACTAATACCTCAGATGTTGAAATTTACTTCCTATTGTAAAGCAGTTAAATGGTACAGATTTGATGCAGCTACAGCATTTATAGATGTGCTGACGAAGTTATTAGGAAAAAACTGAAAAAAATTAACATGGCTTTATAAGGAGAATAGGCAAGCATTTTCTAGAGACTAGACACACATTTTCTGTCTCATCAAATGGTGGCTTGTGCTGTCTCAGAACTGAAGGCCATTGCTGAATGAGGTTCTCAGACCTTATACTTTCAGAACTGTGAGTCAAATAAACTCTTCTTATTTATAAAGTAGACCGTCTCTGCCGTTTCCTTACAGTAATCAAAAGTTACTTATTAGTACACATAAACAATCTAATTTACACTTTAAGGAACTTAGGAAAGAACAAAGGAACCCATGTTGTACACAAGGGTTTATTAACTGAAATACAGTAACTATTGAAAATATAAAAGAAAAAACACTCCTAGAACTCCAATTCACCAGTAAATTACCTCTACCTTTCATTGACCTACATTCCTAGCCCCCAAATGTAATGTGTTTAAAGGAATAAACCAGAAGACTAAAATAGAAGGACTGAAAGCCTTTGTGCTTTCACTAAGTGTCCAACTCACCAGGCTCAGCAGCCTGTGGCCAGCCAGTATGAAATTCTAGAACTCCATGGGCATGTACAGAATATGGTCGACTGGCATTATTCTTGAATACCACAGTCAAGATATCACCAACCTCTCCTTTGATAAGTGGACCTGATACATATAAAAAGAAGCACAAGTTTCATTAGTAGGGGAGTAAAATGGGAGACATTAAAGAGTAAGGCATAACTGCAAGATCCATAGAATTGGGAATTAATCTTCCCAAGGCTGAAATACATGCCTAGTAACATTTTCAGATTCAGAAGCATTAAAATTATTGTTCCTATCCACAGCATGAGGGTACTTCAAAACCAGAAATATGCTTCTTATTATCCCCACTTTTCCCATCCTACTTTTCTCTACATAATAACCAAAGACACTAGAGATTCTGAATTTTACAGAATCATTGATAGTAAGGACTGAAACCTTGGCATACAAAACACATAGAATAGCTGTATCTCTTCAGAGGTCAATGGGTCCTGTCTGGTCTAGGACAAGAATAAAGAAACCCACTGTAAAAAAGCAGCATATAGTCTTTATTAAATTGAAATATGTGGGAAATAATGGCTCTGTGTATCATTTTTGCTTTTGCTTGTTGGAGACCCTAAATTCTCCTGCCCCTGGAGTCTTTTAAAATCTACTAGCTTCAGAGGATCCATGTCTCAAAGATACAAAAATTTGAAACATTTTGTTCCATGTTATAGAAGAATTTATATATTTATATTTCCCCCTTTCCCTTTAGTGTTTATATTCATAGCCACTTTTAAAAATAGGGCCGTAATTTTAATATTTCACATGGAAAAGCTGAGAATGAGGAATAAGATAGCATCCCTGATATGATATAGCTGTCCTAGAATTAATCCACTCTTTTAGATATTAGAATGTATGTAAATTTCCCTTACCCAGGATTCCCAAGTGCTCCTCTGGTCCAGACCTTGGCTTCGGAATCCTGAAAGTACCATCAGTGTATTCCCTGAATACAGCTTTCTTATATCTGGAACCCAGAAGCCCATCCGTATTGCTCAGGAAAACATGACCATAACTAGAGGAATCCAAAGACTGTTATTAGTACCTGACCTTCAACTTTTATTTTCAGATGTGGCAAAATTAAGTTAGCACCTGACCTTCAACCTTTATTTTCAGATGTAGGAAAATTAAGTTAGAACTATTCTCATGTCAAATATGAAAGAAAATGTAAATCTATTCATTATAATGTCAAATTACCCATTCCTCTATTGATGGACATCTGGGTTGTTTCCAGGTTCTGGCTATTACAAATAAAGCTGCTATAAACATGGTTGAGCAAATATCCCTTTTGTGTACTTGAGCAAACTTTGGGTATATACCTAGCAGTGGTATAGCTGGGTCTTGAGGAAGCACTATTCCTAATTGTCTTAGAAAGCGCCACTCATGACCAAACCTTTGGCAGTACAGGGAATCATAAGAAAGAAGGGGAGTTAGTCCGATGGGGAAAGGATAGGAGCTCCACAAGGACCAAATATATCTGGGCACAGGGTCTTTTCTGAGACTGACATTCAACCAAGGACCATGTATGGATATAACCTAGAACCTCAGCTCAGATGTAGCCTGTGGTAGCTCAGTAACCAATTGGTTTCCCATAGTGAGGGGAACAAGGACTATTTCTAACAGGAACTCAATGACTGGCTCTTTGGCCTCCCCACCCCCCAAGGGAGGAGCAGTCCTGTTAGGCCACAGAGGAGAGCTTTGCAGCCAGTCCTGAAGATACCTGATTAAACAGGATCAGATGAATGGGGAGGAGGTCCCCCCTATTAGTGGACTTGGCAAGGGGCACGGTGGAGATGAGGGAGGGACTGGGAGGGAATGAGGGAGCAGGACACAGCTGGGATACAGAGTTAATAAAATGTAACTGATAAGAAAAAAATAAAATTAAAAAAAAATAATGTCAAATTACATTGCCACAACTGAAAACAGTAGGTTTCTGAACCTGTGTTTTTATTTCAATCATCCAGATAGACATTTTCAGTATGTTGATATTTCCAATGTAACTTAAGAACCAGAAACCGTGGCTTTGGTTCCAGCCTTAATAGAGTATTAGATTTGAAAGTATTTTAACAAAAGGAAAAGGCACAAAGTTTCAGTTGAGCATCAATAGTTGTTGGAGATGAAAAGTGAGAAGAAATAGGCTCTTACAGATTTTTCATTACAGGATATTTAACAGCTGACAGAGCTTATCATTCATTTTAACAGAACATTCCAAATATGTGGATCACAGAGGTACAATCACTAGCCAAGATTTGACAGGATTATGTACAGAGACACTGTCACCCAGAAGGGGAGACAGGACTTAGAATTAAGCCTGCTGTTCCTACTCTTTCTTTACTAGTGATGTTTTTTTTTCAGCTATGCATAATAGATGAAATCAAGGTTTACAGAAATAAATTTACATTTCCTAATTCCCACAGAAAATTCTCATGAAGATTTCAGCCTAAACAACCAACTTATAAAGGTCAAGAATTGACCAAAAAACAAACAAACAAACAAACAAAAGAACAGTGAAAACACCACAAACTAAAGAAAACTATTATTAATAATACTTTTGTAGCTCAGTTTGTATTCTCTACACCCTCTTTTTAGTAATAAAGTTACCTAAGATTTATGGGGACACATAGTTTTCCATGGAGATATTACATAGCTATTCACACAGTTGCCTGTGTTTGCCTATAGTTACATATGGTCATATGAATAAGCTTAAGAGATAGGACACCAGAAAAAAATAAATGATACATACAACTTCCAAGTATATCCTTACAGGCAATGTTGCTTACCCTAACTTGAAAGCTGGGGATATCCAAAACTAAAATAAGCATCTTGATCTCAAAGATGAAAGTAGGAGTTGAGGGAAACAGAGTTCACCTGCCAGGCCTGAACTGTTCGTAGGTAAATAACAGCTAAAACTGGAACTTATTTAAAGTACTCTGGTTTGGACTTTTTTTGTTTCACAGCTTAGTTTGTACCTTAATAAATGACCTTGAGGCATCTCATTGCTTGAATAAATCACTATAACTTTAAATCCTAGTGCTGGTAAGTTTTAGATAATTAGAAAGGAAGATGGGATGAATGTAGCAGGGTCTTTTTCTTCAGCTCAATGGCTAATGAATATAGAAGAAACAAAGAACTGGAATTCAGAATCCCTCCGTTCTAGTCTGTTCTTTTGGCATCATATTGGAAGAAGTTATAAAAATGTCTCCTTCCTGTAATTCTTTAAGGAGAGAGGTGAGGGATGGGAGAGAATGGAAATCAGAGCGCGGCATCTCTGGGACGGAGGAGGCTCTGTGGAGTCTATTGCGTTGACCCTAGCTGAAACCCCTAGCAGCAGGGTATATGGAGCATGAAGTGGCTATCGCCTCCTGTAGCCAAGCAGGACTTCCAGTGGAGGGAGGGGAACACCAACTCACCCACAAAACCTTCTATCCAAAATTTGTTCTGCCTATAAGAAGTGTAGGGATAAGGATGAAGCAGAGATTGAGGAAACAGACAACCAATGACTGGTCCAACTTGAGACCCACCCTATGGAAGGGAACCAACCCCTGACACTCGTTTGATACTCTGTTATGCTTGCAGACAGGAGCCTAGCATAACTGTCTTCTGAGAGGCTCCATCCAGAATCTGATGGAAACAGATGTAGAGGCCCACAACCAAAGAATAGGCAAAGCTAGGGGAGTCTTGGGGGGGGGGATTAAAGAAGAAACCTACAGAGTCAACTATCTTTGGCCCATGGGGGCTTTCAAAGAGTATGCATGGACTGGACCTAGGCCCTCTACACATATGTAGCAAATATGCAGCTTGTTCTTTTTGTGGGTTCCCTAACAATTCAAAGGGCTATCTCCGACTCTGTTGCCTGCTTTTGCATCTCTTTCCCACATCTGGGCTGCCTTTCTGGCCTCAGTGAGAGAGGATGCCGTTATTCCTGCTACAACTTAATGTGCCAGGGTGGGCTGTCACCCATGGGGGTACCTCCCCTTCTCTGAAAAGAAGAGAAGCAGGGATGAGGAAGGGGGTATGAGGATGGGACTGGGAGGGGAGGAGGGAAGGGGCTGCAATCAGGCTGTAAAGTGACTAAATAAATGAAAAAAATAAATAAAAATGCCTCTTCTTTTTAGTTTTAATAATTCACCTGTGAAATTATTTTCTAAAGCTGTGATTGCTCCTTTTCTGAAGCCTTACCTGTCCTTGTCAGAAGTGTTGTGCCAATCCAGTTCCCAGCTTCTATCAGGGCAATAATCCCACTCTACCTCTTCTGCCATGATGTAGTAGACTCTTGAAGCTTGGTAATGTTGGCGTGGGCTGTCTTTATGACCAGAACACTGGGAGACATTATAAATTGCCCTCATCCCTGCCTCTCGGTGGCTTCCTGCTTGGCAATAGATTTCAAATGTCCCTAAAAGATGATTAGAGAGCAAAATCTGAGTGAAAATGCCCATCAGAAGCATGTGGAGATTTCTTCCCTTTTCCTAGTGGTACTGCAGAGGAAAGGTAGTCTATGAAAATGCTCTTATATACATTAAAGTACATTACAGTTTGTTGAGAAAAATGATCACAGCAGAGGTACAATCCCAGCACTACTAGGTTAAAAATTAAAGTTTTACAGGAGAATGAGGAACTCAAGGGTTATCAAATCCTTAGAAATGCCTGTTCTGAAATTATGGTCTACCCTAGTTTTTGCTTATTAGCTACCTAAACTTGTAAAGGTTTCTAATTGTTTGTGTCTAATTCAGGTCCCATTTCAGTAAATTGAGAAGGACGTTGTTTACTTCGTTTGGCTATTATACAAATAAATAGAATATGGCTGGCAAGACTGTTTAGCAAGTCAGGGTAGGGTGTTTGCCCCAGGAGTCTGGAAACCTGAGTTTAATCCTTGAACACATCATGGAAGTAGAGGACCTACTCCTAAAAGTTGTACTCTGACTTCCATATGTGTGCCATACCACACATGCAACCACAATCACCAATACCTATTATATACAAATACATAGCCAATATGATTAATCTAGAAAGGAATATAATAGTATAGATTATACAGTATTATATATAATCTACATAGCACTGTCTGATAAATGTTCAGTAAGTAAAAGTATAAACAATTCAGCTTAATAATTATTTGATAAAAATTATTGACCTCTGTTTTCTATGATATAGCTCCCCCCAAATAATGCTTACATGATAACTCCTTTCTTTCTTTCTTTCTTTCTTTCTTTCTTTCTTTCTTTCTTTCTTTCTCTTTCTTTTCTTTTCTTTTCTTTCTTTTTGAGACAGGGTTCTCTGTGTACCCTGTCCTGGAACTAGCTCTGTAGACCAGGAAGGCCTTGAATTCAGAGCTCTGCCTGCTGCTGCCTCCCTCTGAGTGCTGGGATTAAAGGTATGTACCATCACATCCTCCTTACAGGCCAGATTTTAGAAAGTTGCCATCCTCGGCTTTATACTATGAAATGTTCAGACATCTATCTTGGATATCTGTGGTGTGAAGCTATAAGGACCTGCCTCCAGCCACATGTTTCCATGTCACAGACACTTGATCAGATTATGTTAATAAAATGAAGCTATCTATCTTAGATTCATTTTCACTGTTCCCTTAGGTTGCTGCTCACTGCTTACCCTACCACTACAAATATTTAATCAACTGCAAAGCCTCTTATAATCTGTCCCTAAACTTCCAGTCCTGTCCCATTTTCTACACTCAATTATTTTGCTAACTAAATCAGTTTCTGACAGCTCCCTTGTATATCTCATTCCCACTTTTCATTTTTCACTCACATTTTTACTCCTTTCTGAAATTTATATGCCCTACTAATTCTCAAAATCTGTGAGAACCCCCTCATTCTTTAAGACCCAATTCATAGTTCATCTCTTTTAGGAACCTCTCCCTGAGGGTTTGGCCCCTAGTTAACACTATACTCTTGGGCGTTCCATTATTGTGTGTTCCATACTTAAATGGCACGGTAAAAGACTTAAGTGTTCTGTCTTTAAAATTAATGCTTAGCATTATTAGATGACAACATGATAGAAAGGGTTTTCTTGTTTCTTTCTATATCTTCTATTTCTATCATTCTCTGTATCAACTCCATCATTAAATTCTATCACCAGTTCCTTAAAAATCGTTCTTTCAATCTATTCCCATGGGGCTCCACTTGTAAACCCAGTTTAGGCCTTTGACACCAACCCTCTCATTCTTTCCTTCTAGACCATAATTTGTGTTACCCACTGACCCACAGAATTACTCTTTTCCAGGGATCCTGCAGACATAACATTTTTCTAAGGTCAAAAGAGGGCAACAGCAGCCTAAGACTAAAACACCTACCCAACAAAGGCAAGACTAGATATTTACTATAAAATCACTCAGTCATCATAACTCTGGTTGTGTCAACCCCAGTGCAAAATTGCAACATGAACAGCCAAGACAAAATGCTTTCACCAGAAGGCAGTAACCTTACTGCAGGAAACCCTGAGAAATGTAATATAGTTGAAACAGAAGGCAGAGACTTCAAAATAGCAAATAGGAATATCTTCAACGACCTTAAAGAGGATATGAAAGAATCATTTAATGAAGCCCATAGGGGGAAAATAGTTAAATGAAATAAGGAAAGCAATACAAGAAATGGTAGTAGAAATTTAATAAAGAAATAAAATAACTAAAGAAAACTCAAAATGAAAAATTTAGGATGACAGACAGAAACCTCAGAAGTTTCACCAACAGAGTACAAGATACAAAAGAGAGAATCAATAACCTTACATCATGTCAAACATCCCTTAGCCTACTGCACTTTAACACTTGCTCTTCCTTCCACAACTCTTTCTTTTAGACAGAGTCACCTTCCATAGTCAATGCTGGCCCCAGACTCACTATGTAACATAAGCTGGACTCAAATTTGTGATCCTCTTGTTTCAGTTTCCACAGTTCTGGGGCTGCAGATGTGAACCACCATCCTTAGCCAAACTGACTTTTTACTAACTCTTGAGTAAGCTGTTTGTTCTCACTTTAGTATATTTTTAATTGCTTAATATTCTATGATAAGAAATCTTTACTTATCCTCTTTTCCTCACCATTTAGGGTACAGTTTATATGTCATTTAATTCAGAGACTATTTCTCTTGGACACTGTTCTTTAAATTAATGTGAGCATTGTTTTACCACATCACTGCCCTTTGTTTTCTGACCTGTATCAGTATCTGAAAGTATTTATATATATATTATGTATATTAAGAGTATTCTGAAAGAAAACCTCATATGACAGATATGAAAGTACATGCCTGAAATCTCAGAACATGGAAAACAAAGACAATAGAATTGATTATAAATTCAAAGTCAGTCTAGGATACATAGATAGTTTCAACGCAGCTATATAGCAGGATCATGTCTCAAAACAGAAAAGTTCACATACACACACACACAAAAAAAATGTTATAGGTCTTATTTACTCCACTGTCACATCTTAACAGTAGAAGGTGTTCAATTAATAGGGGTTTAGTGATTAAATGCATCAGCCTAATGGAGTGATCTATACATACTGCCCAAAAGCCAGGGCAGTAAGATGGCTTAGAAAGTCTTGGTACTTGCTGCCAAGCCTGAAAGCCTGCGTTTTCTTGTGGAACTCCCATGATAGAAGGAGAAAATCAACTCCCCAAAGTTGTATCAGACTTTGGTTCGAGTGCTGTGGCATAGTCCTACCCACCCACAAATAACTAACTAAGTAAACAAATAAAGTAAATAAGTTAGTTAGTTAGCTAGTTAGTTACTTAGTTAAAAAAATTAAAAAAGAAAAACAGAGGAGATCCAAGATGGTGGCATAGATTGCATACTTTGGTCAGCGGGGCAACAGTGACTGGACCAACAGACAGAACTGTGGGCCCTAAAACACTGGCGACTGTGTTTCCCAGGTGGGAGGAAACCCACCTGGGAAACAGTCTGGTCCAACCTCAGGTCACCCAGCTAATCCCTGGAGTTCCTGGGTTACTGAAGGTGTTTGGTCTCCCGCGTTTTACCACATACATGCACGTTGTGCTCGCCATCTCAGACTGAACTGTGGGCCCCCAAAACACCAAAGACTAGGTCTCCCAGTAATGAGGAAATCCCATGGTGAGGGAAAACAATCGAATTTAGGTTGCCCAGCTAATCTCTGGAAAAGTTCCTGGGTTCTCACAGGTCTGGTGTCTCCAGCATCTAGCCACAGGCCTGTTCGCTGTGCTCACTGTCCAGGGAACACAGCTCCAACCTCAGGCCTCTGACACCTGAGAACCACAGAAATAGCCCCAGATGCCCTTACAATGCTCAACTTCTCTTCCTAGGGAGAATGACCAAACTTTTGGGCTCATTGGTTCTTTATGATGTCTGCGCCCAGCACACAAGGTGTCTGAGCACAGCGCCTGTGTACTTGCATATAGATCATTAACCTCAGAGCAAGAAAGCCAGTGGTGGGACAGCTGTCTTCAGGACTACTCTTGGTGAGAGGAGAGGCCCTGTGCTCCAGAGATGTCCAGTTAGTCAACAGGATCAAACACCAGAGGAGAGCCACTGCAGTTTTCTGAGAACCATCTGCCAGTTGGAGACTATACCCAACAATCTGAGGAGGACTCCTGAGGGAACATACAGTTTTCTTCCCAGGGTTTTTCCCATACACCTCCTTACTTCCGGTCCCTCAGGATTACAGCAGGCATCAGAAACTACCAGCCAACTCCAGAGACAACCAGATGGGCAAAGTCCAGCTTAAAAAGAAATTCAAAAAATGCCAAAGCATTATGGAATCTCCAAATCCCAGTTATCCAAAGGCAAGCAGCACTGGATATACTAACACAACTGAAACTCAAGAATAACACCTTAAATCTATGCTTATGAAGATGAAAACTGAGGAAACAAAATCCATAAAGAAATAAAAAAAAAGATACAGTCAAACAGATTGTAGACTTTAGAGAGAAAATAATTAAATCCCTGAAAGAAATAGAGGAAAGTTTAAACAAATAGGTGAAGGAATTGAATGAAAGGCAGGAAAATACAAACAGGTGAAGGAAATCAACAAAATGGTTAAAGATCTGAAGATGAAAATGGAAAATTAAAGAAAGCATCAACTAAAGAAATCCTGGAGAGGGAGAACTTAGGGAAAAAAACAAAAACAAAAACAAAAAAACAAAAAACAGGAACCAGAGAGGTAAGCTTCTCCAACAGAATAAAAAAAAATAGAGGAAAAAAATTCAGGTGTAGAACATATGATGGATGAAATTGATGCATACATCAAAGAAAACCTTAAATTTAAAATATACCTGACACAAAACATCCAAGAAAGCAAGGACACCATGAAAAGACAAAACCTAAGAATAATAGGAATAGAGAAAGAAAGAAAATTCTCATCTCTAAATCCCAAAAAGTTTTTCTACAAAATTTCTCCAATTT